AGGGAAGCCAGGAGTGGCAGGACTTCATGGCCCCCCAGGGAAGCCTGGTGCTCTTGGTCCTCAAGGTCAGCCTGGCCTTCCAGGGCCCCCAGGTCCTCCAGGCCCCCCAGGTCCCCCAGCAGTGATGCCTCCTACACCACCCCCCCAAGGAGAGTACCTGCCAGATATGGGGCTGGGAATTGATGGTGTGAAAACGCCCCACGCCTACGGGGCTAAGAAAGGCAAGAATGGAGGGCCAGCCTACGAGATGCCTGCCTTCACCGCCGAGCTGACTGCACCTTTCCCTCCGGTGGGGGCTCCAGTGAAGTTTGACAAACTGCTCTATAACGGCAGACAGAACTACAACCCACAGACGGGCATCTTCACCTGCGAGGTTCCTGGGGTCTACTATTTTGCATACCATGTTCACTGCAAGGGGGGCAACGTGTGGGTTGCTCTGTTCAAGAACAACGAGCCCATGATGTACACGTATGATGAGTACAAAAAGGGTTTTCTGGACCAGGCATCTGGTAGTGCCGTGCTGCTCCTCAGGCCCGGAGACCGGGTCTTCCTCCAGATGCCCTCAGAACAGGCTGCGGGACTGTATGCTGGCCAGTATGTCCATTCCTCCTTTTCAGGGTATTTATTGTATCCCATGTAAAAAAAAGACAAAAGAGAGAGAGAGAAGAAGAAAGAAAAGAAAAAAGAAAAGAAGGAAAAGAAAAAGAGATTTAATAGAAGAAAATGACACACCAAAAAATCCAAACGAAAAACATAGTTGCTTCAAAGCATTTATATAGTTGGAGAGTTATATTTAAGTGAAAATTTGGACCATCGTGTACAAATAGAAAACTAAGATGCATGTTTACTATTCTGCACAGCAGCTTGTAATTGAAAGTGACGGAACAGATTTATGTGTTACGTACTGACACTCATGTTGTACCCACTGGAATCATATTAGTTATTGTATGTTATATGCTTCCACCATAACCTGCTTATTCAGATCAGTGAAAATATTTCAGTAGGAAAGATCATAGCTAATGAAAGTCACTCACTCATATTGTTTACTTTAAAGTATTTAAAAATGTCAGTGATGACAATTACATACCGTATTTACTTGCATAATTTCCTCTGTATTTTGTGCAGACACTTTGCCGTTAAATGGGGGCTGGATAGATAGTGTTACTGTCCCAGTGAAAGGGACCATAAGGGTCATGGGGATCTTTTTTTTTTTTTTTTTCTTAATTTAAGAGGGATTTTGCTATAGGGTGCGTGGGCTCTCCAGAGAGAAAGAAAGACAGAA